CCTTCTCAAGATGTCTTAGAGAAGCCTTTTGCCTCCTCTCTTCACCGGTCCACTGGTGTCACAGACAATCAGGGGGAAGCACGGGCTCCTTTTAGACATAATAATTTATATCTGTCCCAAAAGTTTATTAACATGGGATTCCTTTGTTCACTCTCTCTCTGATGTTCTTCACCTTCTCCTGAGGCCCCGTGTCCCTTTGCCTCTTCCTCTCTCTAGCTCTTCCCTTTCTCACTTTCGGTTATTCTCTTTACTCTGTCTTCCAATCTTCCCTCCCCTGCCTCCTTTACTCTCATTTCAATCTAAGCACCCCAGAAAGTGAGGTCCTTAACTCTAGTAAAACCTGCTAATTGGAACTCACACTCTGGCTCCTCTTTCCTTTTATTCCTTTTCTAACAATAACATTAGATAAATTTGTCTTGGAGTGGTAAGTTTGTTATTATATTTTTAAATTTTAAGATACATACACTTAGCTTTAGAAAACACCTAAATTTAGAATGAATTACATTAAAAGGTTACAGTTCTCCTCTCCTTGCCCCTGACCCTGCAGCCTCAATTCCTCTTATGAACCCATTTGACAGATTTTCATTCCCTTGTACTTGTGATCAGCCCTATATTTCTATATAATATTCATTCAGTCATTTGTGTTTTAAGGAAGTACATTCTCCTCCTTCTATATGTTATTATAAGTTTCAAATATTGTTTTTCTGGTCTGTACTTATAGATAAGAGTCTTGCTAGCTTGCAAAAGTCCACAGCATGCTGAATGTCATGCACTGAAATCACTTCTTTTTCTCTGGAGTGGTGTATCCAACATTCCATGACCTGAGGACAAGCTTTCGGATAACAGCTGTGGACTCCCAGGTCAGCCCTGCAGCTTCAACGTCTTCAGTCTGAGAAAAATGGATTAATAGGCATTCCCATGTTTGCTTCGATCTAAACAATAACATCTTTGAAACGATGGCGTCATATACGACTTGTAATTTTATAACACAAATACAACAGCATAAACTGCATTTCCTACTGCAACACCCCGTATTGCCTAGTAGAATCTTCGAATTCGCCAAATGAAACATGGGCTTTAATCTGGCAAAATTAAGCCTAAGAAGTCTTGTTCAATTTTTAAAAATAACTAAATAAAAGAGCAAATATTACTAATAACCAGAAATTCTAAATGTCCTTAAGTAAAGAGATTCAAAGTAAATGAGAATCAAAATTGTATGTTAAATAGCAGAATAAATCCACTTTACACAATTTACTCTATGTAATTGTCTAATCACCTAACGAGCAAACTATGTACAAAAAGCAAAAAGAAACATCTACTAGAAGCAATCAGGCAAGGAAAATTTCAAAGTCTGGTGTGTTATGCTATAAAATGGTAATATATAAAGAAAGAGGTAACTCATAATAGTAGTTTTTATAAACCTTTTCTATCCTTTAGCTTCCTTTTGTTGTTGTCAATTCCTATTATTAGGAATTAATAGCACTCTGAAGCCATCTAGGTTATTAAAGAAATAATCCGTGATTAATTTAAATATGGTGTGAAATAAATATACATTTTTATCTTCCTTCTTAGAGAAAATAGTGTTATTCATTTTGGTTTATTGAATAGACCCTTTACTATCCATGCTGTGACATGGCATTCTGTAATTCACAGCACGTCCAGGGATCTCCTTCTGAGCCAAAATCCTTATTTTTCCACCCTGGTTCTGACGGGAAGAAATAGAAAAATCAAGTAGTAGGTCTGACCCTCATCTCATGGAAGTACCAAGTCCAGAGCTGCACTGGTAACTAAGGAATGGCCTGAAGCTCAAAGTTATCCTCCGATGCAAACACACAACTCCAAATATAATTAAATTTAGTAGGAGATTTTGAAAAGAGACTCAGATACATTAGTTGGTGAAATCGAGGACCTTGTGCTCCCATCCGAGGGAGGGAGGGAAGAGGGATGGAGGGAGGAAGGGAAGGAGGGAAGAGAGAGAGAGGGAATAAAGTGTTTTGAGTGGCTAAAAATATGTCATGTCCTGCTGTGATCTTTGAGTGAGTTAACATGGCAGACACATGTATGCAGACTAATTATCTTAAATTATAAAGCAAAAGAGACAAATATTCATAGTCCTCTAATCCAACGTATTTAGCAAGTATATAAGCTCTTGTAAGTTTCTACCCATTATTGCTTAGGACAGACTGCATCATGTCTATATGGAAGCACTGACACTGCACTAGAAGGCTATTAGTTAATGATATAAAATCAATGCAGACCTTTCTTAATTATACCTTTGGAATCTGACTAAATAAGCCTTTGCCAAATCTGATTAAACAGATACCAAAATTTGGTTCCTTAAAAAAAGACGTACAGTATTGTACTCACCATCTTTCAGATACAATGTCAATCCCTTAACATCTTTTAGGTGGCTTGCTGTGATACATGAAGACTCTTTTTTTTTAACTTGGGTTTTTTAATTCCATTCTTTTTTCTTTTTTTGGGATTTTAGTTCCTTTTGAAAAAAGTCTTATACACTGAGATTCATGGCCTGTATTGTACTTGTGCCATTGTAACTGGCACTTATTGGGGAAGGGGAGTACGAGAAGGTCTCTAACCTGTTTCCATCCTTCAAAAAAAGATTCTCCCTATTCATGTTTGAGTTGAGCAACGGCTGCCATGGGGAAGAGATCGTTTTGGGATTTTTCTTCGTTTATTGCCCGGGGAAACGGTTTCCCCAGGCTTGGCTTGCAGGGTATTGAAAGTTCCATAAAACTAAAAGTTGAATGGTTATACCAACTTTATAATTATTCCCAGGATTAGCCCTCCCCGAGCCTTTAACTGTGCTGATTTTAAGCTCACTGTTGCCTTCACTGCAGTGTCTATTTGAAGAT